AATTTGTTTACAAACAATGAAAAGGGTTAAGTGCTCTTTTTGTCTAGTGTATTCAGATTCAGACCCCCTTCACTTTTTCAAATTTGTTCTGCCTGATTTGTTGCAGCCTGATACTACAGTTAAATTATTATTATTTTCTCCTGAATCTTCACTCAGTACCCTATAATGGCAATGTGAAAACAGAAGTTTAGAAATGTCTGTGAATTTATGAAAAAGAAAAAATGAAATATCACATGTAGTTAAAGGAGAACTATGAGGTGAGTGACTTACACTCATCCTCATAGTTAGAGCCGAAGTGTGACAATTAAACTGTCAAACGTCGACTCTATAGATCAAGAAGTAAGCGTACACATACCGTCGCACTCTCACTTGCCGATTATCTACCTACAGAGAGCGGTGACTGTCGGTCACCGCTCCCTGCATGGATTCCCCCCTCCCCTCTCCAATCCTCCAGTGCTGACTGGAAGAATGGACGAGGGAGGGGGCAGGCACTGCTGGCTCTGCCTCTAGGTAGGCAGAGCCCGCTGTCAATCAGCCAGCTGAGAGGATCTCGACAGCATTGTCGGGATCTGTCCCGGCTGCAGCGCTCTCAATATATAGCAGGCAGTAGCCTACTATATACTGAGCTTGGAGTCATGGGAGGAGGTTAGTATATGTCATCCCGTGACCCTAAAGAGAACTATGGGATAAAAAGGTTACCCCATAGTTCTCCTTTAAGTATTCAGACCCTATACTCAGTACTTTGTTGAAGCACCTTTGGCAGCAATTACAGCCTCAAGTCTATTGGGTACGACGCGAGCTTTGCACACCCTCTCAAGTCTAGTCAGGTTGAATAGGGACCGTCGGTGGACAGCCATTTTCAGGTCTCTATAGAGATGTTCAATAGGGTTCAAGTCAGGGCTCTGGCTGGGCCACTCTAAGACATTCACAGAGTTGTCCCTAAGTCACTCCTGTGTTGTCTTGGCTGTATGCTTAGGATCGTTGTCTTGCTGGTAGGTGAACCTTTGGCCCAGTCAGGTCCTATACGTTGTAGAACAGGTTTTCATTGAGGATACCTCTGTACTTTGCTTCATTCAGCTTTCCCTCAACTTCGACCAGTCTCTCAGTCCCTGTTGCTGAAAAACACCCCCACAGCGTGATGCTGCTACCATCGTGCTTTACGGTTAGGATGGTATTGGGCAGGTGATGAGCTGTGCCTGGTTTCCTCCAGACATAACGTTTAGAATTGAGGCCAAACAGTTCAATATTTGTTTCATCAGATCAGAGAATCTTTTTCCTCACAGCCCGAGAGTCCTTTAGGTGCTTTTTTGCAAATTCCAAGCGGAGAGGAGAGGCTTCCATCTAGTCACTCTGCCATAAAGGCCAGATCGGTGGATGGCTGCAGTGATGGTTGTCCTTCTGGAACTTTGTCCCATCTCCACACAGGATCTCTGGAGCTCAATCAGAGTGACCATCGGGTTCTTGGTCACCTCTTACTAAGGCCCTTCTCCTCTGATTGCTCAGTTTGGCCAGGCGACCAGCTCTTGGAAGAGTCCTGGTTGTGCCAAACTTCTTCCATTTGAGAATTATGGAGTCCACTGTGCTCTTGGGAACCTTCAGTGCAGCAGAAATTTTTTGTAACCTTCCCCAGATCTGTGCCTTGCAATAATCCTGTCTCCAAGCTCTGCAGGCAGTTCCTTTGACCCATGGCTTTTGCTTTGATATAGTATGCATTGTCAGCTGTGAGGCCTTCTATAGAGAGGTGTGTGCCTTTCCAAATCATATTCAAACAATTTAATTTACCACATGTGGACTCCAATCAAGGTGTAGAACCATCTCAGCAACGATCAAGAGAAATTGGAGGCACCTGAGCTAAATTTCAAGTGTTGTTGCAAAGGGTCTGAATACTTATACCAATGTAATATTTCAGTTTATCCTTTTTTATACATTTTCAAATATTTCTAAAATTCTGTTTTCACTTTGTCATTATGCAGTACTGAGTGTAGAATAATGATTAAAAAAGAATTTAAACAACTGTAGTATCAGGCTGCAACATAACAACATTTTTAAAAGTGAAGGGGGTCTGAATACTTTCTGAATGCACTGTATACGCACCAGAATCTCAGACCTAGCTGGCTGTTATACTGGTCCCTTCAGCCTTGCTCACCCTCCGCTCTGGCAGTGTAATGTCCTTCTGCATTCTTTTGTCCAATACCCTGTATTGGATGTGATGACTCACAGGACCTTAGGTTGCCCTCCACTCGGGCAGTCTAATGTCCAATACACTGTCCCTGGATGCTGGGGGACAATAGACCTCCTGAGCAGAGGGGGAGCAAACCTGAAGGGATCAGTCTGGCAGCCAGTCAGATCCAAGATCCGAGTAAATCTTTGTTATTTTAGCTCCATAGACAAAAAGAACACTTATCCCTTGCAGTGCGGGGGTATCCACTCTGAAAGGGTTACGGATTAATTTCTAGGTTTAGTTTTGAGGTTAAGGTAAAGTGTTAGGTTTGGTGTTATTTGATCATTTAATGGAGTAGTTTAGATTTTAGGGATGGGTGATATTTGGGGAGCATAGGTTCTTAAAGTGAAATTCATCCTTTTTTAAGCACTGAAGTGGCCACATATATAGTGCTAGGCTTCTGAAGTGAAATATATTATCAATCTAACACGGATATTGTGATTTGAAGTAGAACATTATAATTATCCATACCTTTGATTGTATATTGTATTCAAGTAGTAGTGGCAGATTTACTGATTTTGCTGTCAGCAACGTTTCTCCAAAGTGGAAACTCCCAATTTTACTGAATAGGTGGCTTATGCAAATGTTTTAAAAATCTTTTTACTTGTTTAGAGGGCATATGTTTTTGAGGGGGAAGGGGGATGTATTTATGGTAGTTTACATTATTCCATTTATTTGTGTTAGTTATTATTAATTCTGCTTTTTTCCCTTTTTTGTGTATGCATTTGTTTGTTATTGGTGTAGTTGCTGTTTTTTTGTTTTCTACAGCCTGTTTTTTCCCCCTCTGTGTAAATGCATAAATTGTTAAGGCTACCGAGGGTCCACTTTTTGGCACAAGCACAGGTCCAGAAAGGATCCTGACACATTGTCCAGCCAGCTGTGCCTGCCCCCTTCCCTGTGTGTCCCTCCAATGAGCATTGGAGGAAAGGAGAGCAGAGGGGGGAATCCCTGCTGGGAGCGGTGACTGATAGTCACAACTCTCTGAAGGGAAAAGCCATGAGCTGAGTGATCCGCAGTTACATGATTGCTCAGCTCTCAGTATAGAGCTGGTGTGTGACAACTGCAGTGTCCCACGCTGGCTCTAAGTATTGGGAAGAGTATTTTTTACGCTTCCAAATACTCCCTTAATTGTACTTTCCCTATTTACTCTAGAGCATTTGCCAAGTTAGTAAATTCTCACAATTTTCACAAAACATTTAGGGAAACTACAACTTTAAATCTCTCCAGGGCCTCATTCACACTGCTAAGAGCCGGCCTGTACAGACCCGCGCGGCATGCATGGCCGTATTGGGCCGCTCCCGGGAAGGACAGGGGCTGTGTGTGATTGTACACAGCAGCCTGTTCTTCTCTATGGGAGTTCGCGGCCGTACGCACACCCGGGCTACACATCCGTGTGGGTGTCTGTACTCATACACAGACAGGATGGATCCTGTCTGCACACGAGCACGGACACCGGCACCCACACGGATCTGTACGGCCGGCTCTTAGCAGTGTGAATGAGGCCTTATTCTTACCACTGAGATCAGATGCATGCTTGCCGCATATCTCAATTTCAGTATACAATATAGAAGAGCTAATGGCAAATCTGTACACATATTGAGCATGTTCCTAGCTGAGAAGATGATGTTGCTGTCTTGCGGGACACACAACTTCCAGTTCATTGTTTCAAGTACTTGCAATGGAAAATGGAGATGCAATTCTCTTAACAGCCATGTAACTATATTCTTCTATTAGTGTTACTAATATTTTTATATTCTCTACTTTCTCCACTACAGATAATCCCTTGCTCATTGTAAGACCCCCAGGTAAGTTGCATGCATGTATTAACAGAGATGATGCCTAGTTAGACTATGGGGTCTATTCACAAAGCTGCCGAGGGCAGCCGAGTGAATGACCGATCAGAAGTGAAGTGAGCCGAACACCATTCGGCTATTCACTTCAGGCTGGTACGGCTGATTTCAGCCGTATATCGGCTGAAATCAGCCGTACATCGGCTTGCTTCGTGTGGCTTCGGATCAGCCGAACATGCTCAGCATGTTCGGCTGACCCGAAGTGCAGAAGGAGTTCGACTCAGCCGATCCAACATCTGGATCGGCTGAGCCGAACCTCCGGCAGGCTTCACACTGCTGTTCGGGCTATTCTGAAAGATCCCGAACAGCAGTGAGAGAATAGCCGAATGCCGCCGAGCGGCATTTGGCTCGGCTGTTCTGCTCGGTCCCTCAGAGGCACCGAGCAGAACAGAAAAAGAGTGAAAAAAGTAGAAAAAAGTAAATAGAAAACGATTGTGCAGAGCTAGCAGTGACAGCTAGCTCCGCCCAATAGTTTCCTATTGTCCGGCGGTTCTGCTGCTGTAAAAAAAAAAAAAGTTAAAAAAATTTAAAAACTCTCCCTGGCGCCCCGGGAGCCCCCCGCTCCCGGCCGCCAAGGAGAGAAACACAGCTGTGTCTTTTTTTCTTCATTCTGGCACGAGCGATGTCAGAATAGAGAAAAAAAAATTCCCATTCAAAAGCATTGAGAGTTTACTATTGGCTATTTCAATTTGCAATAGCCAATAGTAAACTAGCATTGTTCCCGCCCTCTGCTGGTGGACCTGGTGGGGAACTGCAAAAGAGGGCGGGTACAATGCTAGTTTACTATTGGCTATTGCAATAGAAATAGCCAATAGTAATGTCCCAATGCTTTTGAATGGGACTTTTTTTTTTTTTCTCTATTCTGACATCGCTCCGTGTCAGAATAAAGAAAAAAGACACAGCGGGGTTTTTCTCCTTGGCGGCCGGGAGCAGGAGACTCCCCGGGCGCCAGGGAGAGTCAGATGCTTGGAGATCAGTGTCCCTGGTTAGCAACCAGGGACGCTGATCTCTCTGAAAGTGGCCGGAGCCAGCCGTAAGATCACGGCTGGCTCCGCCCAGCTGTCAGAAGCAGGCTGTCGGCCGGCCAATGGCTGGCCGCTCGGCCAGCTTCGTCTTTCAGCACAGCTCAGCGCTCGACTGAGCCGCTCGGCCGTGATCGGGAGCTGTACGGGCTATTGTGAATAGCCCGTACAGCACCCCCTTGGTTCTCCTGAACCGAAGGGGTCCTGGTGCCGAAGCTAGCCAAAGGATCGGCCGAAGCTACGGCCAGATCCTTCGGCAGCTTTGTGAATAGACCCCTATAATATTTTGGTATTTAAGTATTACAGGAAATCTATCATAACAAAAATATGCAGACAGCCAGTGCTGAATTCTTTCTAAAAAGGCTTGTAGTAGTAGGAACATACCATAATATTTTTTGCCTGGCTTGTATGTTGACTGTCTAAGCATCAATAGTTTCATAGTCACTGACAAAGAACACGTATCAAGTCAAATAATTGTCAGACCTCCTTCTTTGAATCCTGGTCCTGGGTTAGTCACTTGAGCCAGGGAAATAGTATTTTCAGAAGGAGAGGTCAGCAAAAAACGTTTTATTTAAGCAGAATGCATAAATAGTTGTGGCAACCAGAATATCTTGTCATTTTACTTTTCATGTATCTTAAAGGTGGTGAGCCCATTTGGATTCCATATGCATTTAAACATGACTCCAGTTATAGCAGCTGTCATGGAAAGCAATATGTCAAACGCACACGGTACCGAAAGTTTGTTGGAGTCATACTTTGCAATTCTCTACGATATAAGATTTATCTCAGTGAAAATTTAAGAGGTAAGATTCTTTACTGGCAAAAAAAAGTTTTTTCCATTATTACTGGAAATAAAGATAACCCTTTGTTGCAATTTTTCTGAGTATTGTTCAAAAAGATGAACTTTAGGCAGATGTAAATGAATGCATTCACTTTCCAGTCAATGACTGGTGTCAGGGAGGTATCACCACTGTATTTCTTAAAGTGACACCAAACTCAGGAGTTAAATCTTAAAAATGCATTCAAGTACCCTAACTATTAACAAAAATGTAGCTTATTTGTGTATCACTCGGCTGTAGATCCTCAAATCATCTATGAATTTGTGCTGACACTGTCCTTCCTTCTGGGGGGTGGCTACTTTTGTTCCCCATTGTCCCTGCGTGTGTTGTAAAGTAGCCACCGCTCCAAGCTCACTCCTGTGATGGAATACAATCATAATACAAATTAGTAAACTAAACGTGAGATTGTAGTCATTCATGGGAGCGAGCTTGGAATGGTGGTAACTTTACAACACACACAGGGACCATGGGGAACAAAATCCCAGGATTGATTGGAAATGGATATACTTTGGCAGGTGGAACAGATCCCTTATGTGTTTTTAGATATTTGCCAAGTTTTCAGCTTCAATGGAGATAGTTAGGGGGAAAGGATTAGTACAATGTAAAATAAGATGGCACATCTTAAAAATAAATGCTACACATAATACTTCTGTTTTTCTTTGGCACTTTGTATAGCAGCATTTTCTGCAATGTATTATTTGATTGTGTAAATGGGATGAGATATAGCATGATCATCTTCTGAAAGCAGATATTATTTACATACATGATATCATAACAATATCTTAAGATATTTTACAGAAATCTCTTGATTATTATTATTACCTTCATTACAGATAACAGATTAATATTTGTATTATATAAAATTGTAAAACAAAAGGAAACAAAAGAGTGTTTGGGTCTAATTTGCATCTAAGCACAGTGATCCTTTTTTTCTATAGAGATAAATAGATAGATAGATAGATAGATAGATAGATAGATAGATAGATAGATAGATAGATAGATAGCTCTGGTCACTCTCCGCTGATAAGCACTACATCTAGTCTCTTTCATCACTTTTAGATTGTAATCCCTCACGGGCAGGGCCCTCCTTACCATCTTGTCTTGAATTGTATTGTGATTGTAATGTCTTCCTTACATTGTAAAGCGCTGCACAAACTGTTGGCGCTATATAAATCCTGTATAATAATAATAATAATCACCAGTTGACCCATAAAGTTCCCAGTTATCATCAATCCTGTCAATTAGATTTTTCTTTTCTTTTTAAGACACATTTTACAGTATTGGCGACAGCTGGGGAAGAGGAGAAGATCACTGTCAGTTTGTGGACTCCTATATGGAAGGAAGAACAGATCCTTTCTCTGAATTCCAAATGCTACCGAAGGTTACAGGTGAGTGACACCACAATCTCACTTTATCATCTATGAAATGTATTGTATGTTTAGCACTTATTACAAATGTTATTGTTTGCTGAATTCAGGTGTACATTCCAACATATTCTAGACTGACTATTTCACTAGCACATATGCATAACATTTGCAGTGCATTCACCTATGCAACATACTAGCAATCTGACACAGTGAACTTTATTTACTAAATCAGTAGAGAATGGTCACTTAGCAAAGGAATGGAGTTAAGCAGTTTTCACTATGGAAACCCCAAAATAGAGGGCGATTTTAAAAAAAGACAGTACCTTGCATAACTGGATTACTAAGCATATTGAACATGTACTGCTCTTTCAACGTTTAAATTCCAATAACTCTAAGTTTCACTTAGTAGGCTTTGATACCCTCCCTAATCACTGCTGTTCTTGCTCCACTGAGCATGTTACACTCAAAGACTATGGGGGGAAATATAGCCTTAAGGACACTTTCTGGTGGTATGGACCTTTGAAAGGTCCTGCGCCAAATAAAAAAAAAAGCCTTGTCACCAGTTTTGGTAGCTTTACTGACACTTGCTACAAATTCAGGTAGTTCTTATTGTCACTTACTGCCACTTTAAGACTCTGTTGCTATGGCTGTGACAGATTAAAAAAAAAATACCAACAGTTTACAGATAGAGAAACTGGTGGTAAATAAGACCAACTCTGATCTGGCGTACAGAAAAAGCCCTACTCTGAGCAGTGGCCTCTCTCTGTATGCCAGATCAGAGTTGGTCTTAATTACCACCAATTTTCCAATCTGTTGGTAATTTTTTCTTAAAGTGAGTAGCAGCGCATGAGCTAATGAGGATCAAGATTCGGTAGGAGGATTGTCTAAGGCTTTGATGTCATCCAGCATCCCTCGTTTATATTTATTTGTTTTAGTGAAGTTGTGTGGGTGGAACCTGATGGGAAATTCCGAAAACTGGGCCCCCCATCAGATCTACTCTGCTGCAGATTGACAGCAGGCAATGGACGGGCACCACAGCCAATAGCTGGCTGGCTATGGCACCCGCCCACTGCCTGCTGTCAATCTGCAGCAGAGCTGAACTGATGGGGAACTCAGCTCTCTAAATTCCCCATCAGTCTGGAGCCTTCTGCCGTATAAGTCCTCGGTCGCTGCACATGTTTGTGTGACAGGTGCAGCGGGCGGACAAGGAGGTTAGTAATGCTGAGCCTGTGATTTTATCAGGGTCAGGATTGATAAACTGCACTGAGGATGGAGTGTCCGATATGCACACTCCAGCCTCATTGCACCTTCGCACCACAAGAACCGACATTTGCAATGTGGATGCACAACAGAATTCTAATGACTGTCACAGACACTCTTTATGAGTTCCAATGTGTGTTCTTTGCATTATTATGGGGTCTATTCACGAAGCTGCCGAGGGCAGCCGAGTGAATGACCGATCTGAAGTGAAGTGAGCCGAACACTGTTCGGCTATTCACTTCAGGCTGGTATGGCTAATTTCAGCCGTACATCGGCTGAAATCAGCCGTACATCGGCTTGCTTCGAGTGGCTTCGGGTCGGCCGAACATGCTCAGCATGTTCGACCGACCCGAAGTGCAGAAGAAGTTTGAGCCGAACCTCCGGCAGGCTTCTCACTGCTGTTCGGCTATTCTTAAAGATCCCGAACAGCAGTGAGTGAATAGCCGAATGCCGCCGAGCGGCATTCGGCTCGGCTGTTCTGCTCGGTCCCTCAGAGGTACCGAGCAGAACAGAAAAACAGTGAAAAAAGTTTAAAAAGTAAATAGCAAACGATTGTGCGGAGCTAGCAGTGACAGCTAGCTCCGCCCAATAGTTTCCTATTGTCCGGCGGCTCTGCTGCTGTCGAAAAAAAAAAACAAAATAAAAATAAAAAAAACTCTCCCGGGCGCTCTGGGAGCCTCCGCTCCCGGCCGCCCAGGACAGAAATATAGCCCGTACAGCAGGCTCTCGGTTCGAATTAACCGATGGACTCCCGTAACCGAAGCTAGCCAAAGGATCGGCCGAAGCTACGGCTATATCCTTCGGCAGCTTCGTGAATAGACCCCTATGTTTTGTAATATAGGAATACCATGTAATAATATAACATATATATAGCATATAAAATTGCGATCTAACATACAAACAATAAAACAATTATATTTTGCAGGTTATTTCCGCCAGCACACTCAGGAGCCTGTAATGTTTGGACAGATAGGTTTTGGAACTCCTCATAATTATGTTGGTTGGTATGAATGCGGTGTTCCCATACCTGGAAAATGGTAATGGTTTTACCAAGAAGTTGGAGCTGTTTAATGGATGTAATATACAATAATGTTTTAAAGAACTGTGTTGAAAGAAAAGAACAGAACAGAATATCTTGACAGATCTTCAAGCATCAAAAAGCTTGAAACACTGTTTGAAACTGAAATGTGGTGCTGCTTCCAAATCGTCTGAGAAGCACAAATGGATCCCTGCTTTTATGATTCATGGAGTGGCCTGAGTACAACCCACTTAGAGTGAATCCCCCTCCAATCAGAGTACAAACTTTCTGTAATTGTATAACTTGCAAGAATGACCTAAGCTTGCTGTGCGCGCTTACTTGTGAGTTAAACCTTGACTGTTTTTTAAAAAGTCTTCATTGTTAACCAGTGGCAGACCACTGTGCGCTTCAGAGTTACATATTGCAATCACGCTTATGTTATAAGTAATCATCCAATATAGAAGAGTCTACTTTTGAACAAGCACTCACTGGGCTTATTCTTAAGCACAGTCTGCATTTGTTGTCTTATCTTGTTGTCTTTTCCTGAATTCATACCTGTATGCACTAGTTAAATCGGAAAAGATGTTAAAAATTTACATATTGTTCAGACCCTTAACATTTTTGTGCAGTTCCTGTGTAGTCTGGTTGCTATGGTTAACACAGACATATCCCTCCATACACTTTGCTGCCCGCTGATCTCAATGGTGCTATTTATATGCATTAGTGCTGTGTTGTACTAAAACAATGTATGTATGCTACGGGTCCAGTTTGTCTTCAGTTTGGCTCTGAGAAGGTCATTCTACTACGTATGCCCTGGAAACCATTGCTTGTAAAGTGCTACTAATCATTCACAAGCAAGGTAGGTTAGAAGTGCCCATATGAGCTTAGCCTGCCTTCCTACTGAGTAAGTGGCTAGGATTGAGCAAATTTCCCTAGGTTCCGTTCACAAACAGGTTAGTGAATCTTGCTCAAAGTTCACGGGTTTGGCATCAAACCCCATTGAAGTCTATAGAGAGCAAAACTTCTTATTTAATTCTGGACATTTGTAGGGCTAGTAAGCAAGGTTTTATCCAACAAATGGCATGAAATCCTGCCACTGCCATGGGGGAACTTGGTGAATCCTGCGGATTTATAGCAAATGCATGGTTGCTCTAAATCCGCATCCCTAATCATGGCTAGGAATCTATTTGCCACAAAAGATGACCTTTGGGTAAGCCAGAGAAGCATTTCTTCTTCCTTCTTTTGTTTCCCATCAAAAACCAAATCAGCCATGCACTAGCTCATACACACATTGGAAGTGACTTCAGAACACAACCCGAGAATCACAAAAATGTATACATAAACTTAAGTTGTGAATTTCTAGTAGCAGAGAAATGCTTTGTGAAACTCTTTTTTTTGCACTCAAAGGTAAAGTGGTATTTTAACCATATAAACACAGACTTTGTGTTTAGGTGTTTTACAGTCATCAATTCACCCTGAACAAATGTGGCATTATATAATTTTTCATTAGTTATTGATTATTAAAAAAAACAAGTATGCTCTATGTTTGTAAGTGCAAGATAAAGGTGCACTGTATGGTAACATTATTCAGTTTACTTTTAGACCAAGTTAGCCTTACAGTGTTATAAAAAGATATAGAATAACTGATTCTTCTAGCTGGCATAAACATGTATTATTTGTCTATTTAAGGATAACAGCATCCCAATATAATTGTAAACCATAAGCCTCGTAACAAAGTGTGCTTTTCTGCTAATTTTTTAAATAATATACTAAATGACTAGTCAGCAACACATGATTATTAAAATATTTTATTAGATTTCAAACTGGATTTGAAATCACTCTGGTTATTATATAGGACAAATAAATAACACAGAAGTAATGTATTACCCAAGTGCCTACTTTGTAATATTTTCATGAAATGTATAACTGATAAGAAGACTAATTAATTTGTGAAATGATAATGCTTTTCAAGCTTGTTTAGGGCTACACATAATTTTCACCCACTGAACAATACCTTTAAACAGTTTTTATATACCTTGCAAAGAGAATTAGTTAGATAATAGGTAATATGGTATAGCTTCCTATGCACTAAGCCAAGCCAAATGTGCCTCAGTTTCTAACATGCAATCTGTGACTGTACTCGTGTTCAATGTCTTTTTGATGAACATTGCTATGCACCACCGCAGTGTTTGTTTTCAGTAGTAGAGATTGTCTTGTGTTAGGTTTTTGTTTATCCTGTACAATGTTTTAACAAAGCACGTAAAAGGTCTTTAATTAATTACTGTTAAAATAGCATTGTATTACCTATAGTAAAATTACAACATTTAAGTGGTAACAACTCAGCTTAAAACGGCTAAATACATTCCAGGTGCATTTAAAACAAAAGATTAACATTATTTTCTTTAGAAAACTTCAATGGTAATAAAAGCTAGTCCCCTGTGGTCAGAGCCAGAGCTCCCCAGTCAGTAGTGTGCATAAGGCTTGCTGATTGTAAAGTTAAGCTGGGTATACAATAGGGATGTTCAGTTACCAAGTATCGTACTTGGTACAAGTACAAGTACAGATACTTTTCCAGCTACCAGACTAGACTAGAGAAAAATTCAAAAGTTATGAGGCACCTGTCATTTTTAAGGAGCAATACAAAGCTCCTGGTATTTGTGCATCCCTGTTTTAATGTATGATTTATTTTATATAAATATATATAAGGGATGCACCAATACCATTTTTTAAAGTACAAGTACTGATATTTGTCCAAGTACTCACAAAGACAAGTACTGATACATTTTTTTCTTATTGTCATGTGACAGTTTTTCTAAAATAATACAGACTAATGATTTCAGGACAGTGGTGGAGCGCCATAGCCCTGTCACTGCTGCAATCGCTGCAACCCTGGTAGTTCTTGTGAAAATGCCAAATATTGTCACTGGTATCTGAACTGGTTTCTGAACATCCCTAGTACACAAGGTTATATTGTCTTTGTTCATCCTGTCGGCCAAAAAATAGAACAGATTCCTCCATCAATGCTTGGGAACAATGGTCAAGAATCTCTTTTTCTTTTGTATTCTGTTAGCAGCCGCCAGCCACTGTCAGCATACCCACACAGAGTGTGCAGCTGGTTGACTGCTAGCTCCATTTGTACGAAAATTCTCCAACCTGCACCTTCCATCAGATGATCAAGAGATGCCGAGCATCAAGAACCGGCTGAAATTCGTTGCATGTATAGCCTACTTTATACTAGATCTGGCTCAGCAGGGGGGGTGTTGGATCTCTGCACAGGGACCACTGCTTCTGCAAGGGCCCTTCTCTACAGCATTCTAGTAGGGAACAAGCTTTTCTATTCAGAATGCGGCTGCCTTTTTTTGAACTGCAAAACTTTGAAACACTTTTGTCATGATGCCCCTGGAATGTATTTAGCTTTTTTTAAACTGAAAGTACAATTGGGAATTCAGTGGTGCAGATTGTGTTGTAGGACAAATAAAAGTCCATAAAATGCATTTTTGTTTTTAATTTAAATATGCTGTAAAACATATTCCATGACCAGATGACTGTGTAGTAATACACTTACCCCCTAATTATTTTTATCTCATGGATATAAATAAATCTATTATGAGGATAGTAATATTATCGTTATAAAAAGTATAGGAAGTGATATATGTGTTATTGTACCCCCCTGCTGGACAATTACAACTATATTATGATGCACAGAAAAATACAGCTGTTATATAATAATGCTTAAATGGGTTGAGATCACAGAACTCTGTGTAATCATGCTTATATATAGAAGATATATGGTTCCTTATGTTATAGTAAAACAAACGCTCTGGAAGGATATAAACTATAGACAATTTTTAACAGTTGTTGCTAAATGTAAAAGATGAAACCTGATTTTGTGTTGGTAGGTGGGATTGTTTAAACTAACATTGTTTTTAAATTGTTTAACCATTAAAGTGTAAAATAATGTAAAATGTCAAGACTGTACAAAAATGTAAAATGTTAGCCTTAGGCGAACAATTGTTTTTTGTATTGTAACAACATTTTTAAGATTTAGATCATTAATTTAAAAATAATTGCATGCAGAGTTTTAGAGTCTGGTGTGGTGCAAGAACTGTGTAACTCCTTTTGAGTTGCTTTTTACTACTTATCTCACTCTTTGCATTTACTAAACCAGTACATCTCATCCTTAAACTGGCCATACACTGCTCAAAATTTTAGCTCTATGTGGCATTGTGGGCACCACTCTGTTCAGCAAAAGTTGATTTTTCAATTAACTTTTATTAAAGAAGTATGGGGCCAAAAATTGTTGGCCAAAAGGTTAACTGGCTGCAGTCACTGTTTGCACATGCTAACAGCCATGGGCCCCTGTCCACATGAGCATGGTGTGGTACATGTTGGAATAGGTAAGTGTTAGTTACGCAGTACACACACAACATAATCCCTCCACCAATATGTACTTAGAGAAGCTGTAATGCAAGGCAGTCCAATTAGATAGAGCAATACCTAGTGCAGTTGTTAAAAAGCTCTACTTGGAAAAAAAAGCCAGGCTAGAAAATGTGCACCACCTACCCAGTGTTTACATGTATAAACAGCAACCAACCATGCTATGCCATCAAGGACAAATCTGTTGTATAAAATAATGTGAAAAAGGTTCAAATGACCACTGAGCTTACCATATATCAGGTGCACATCAATTTTAAAATTGGACAGCAGCTTTAGCTATATTATGACAGAGCCTGTTTTCATATCAGAACGTATTAAATTAAAGTGAAGGACATGAGAGAGAGAGATCAAAACTTTATATTCTAGTAATAAAGGGCTTAAAGTGACATTAAACCCTCATTTTTGTTTTACATAAACCAATACTGTAATGTTTACCTTACTGTAATCCATGGTAGTTTCCCTTCTCTTTGCTGCTCTTCCTTTTAAATCCTCATGTCTTCTCATGCTTGGGGAGAACTTCCCTTTGCAGCTGACTGCCTCTTCCTGTAGTGCTGGCTCAGGTTGCAAACCTATACACAAACACCATATAGCCATTCCAGAGACAATGCAGTCTGCTGCAAAACAGAAGTTCTGCCCAGCATGAGAACAGATACAGATTTAAAAGGAAGAGCAGCAAAGAGAAGGGAAACAACCATGGATTACAGTAAGGCACACATTACAGTATTGTTTTATGTTAAAAAATCTGAGGGTTTAATTTCACTTTAACTATCTTCAAGGGCATATTTTGTAATCATTTTAGAGGTCAAATTATGGTAGATTAATACATACCTCCTGTGTACATGTGAACAGCTTATCTTGGTGCTAACTAGATTCCTCTAAAGTTGATTGACATGGTGCTATAGCTTGTATTTGAAAATGCAGAATTTATGAGTGTCCAGTCTGTGTTCAGGGATTAGACAACCCAGTTCAGTTATGTGCACAAGTTTGTTTTTCTTAATTATTTGAAATAAACATATGTCATATGAAATGAATTGTATTTTAATTCTATTTATGAAATGTTGTCAGTAAAACAAAAGCACTATCTTGTATTCTGTATCTGCATTATTTCAAGATAACAGGCGCTATATAACATTTCCATCTGCTGT